CTCTTGAGGGTGATCTTACGGGATCGTGTCATCGATTCAAAAGGTTTCGAGACAAACTAGAGCTTTGTACAATGTTATTTCATACCCTATTATGGAATCTTCATTTCTGCGCAAATACCGGTATGGAATTGCCAGTCCTTAACTATGTAAACCCGTCATTACCAGTCTGCAAGGAAGCCTGGCTCCGTCCTTTATATCCTGTACGCGCCGAGTAAGACGATAGCCGGCCAAGCCTAAGAGAGCACGAAATTCAATAAGGAGGCTTCTACGTCTTGACTTACCTTGCTGGGGTCGTCTGAAGAATGGCGACTGAAATGGCTAGTATTGCGCGTGAATTGAATAGAGAACTTATTTGATCAGGTATTGATCCGTGACCACATTGTGTTAAAAGGTCGTTAATACGTCATCAAATAAGCTGATTTATTTTAAGTTATGTACTTTGGCATTGCGCCAGTTAAATCTATAAAGCATTAATTAACCAGTTACAGAACTGCAAACAAGCATCATGCTTTATCAGAATTTTTGAATCCGGATCCACCGGTATTCTCCAGATAGACGCTCTGTCGTCCAAGTCATTGGTCACCAGTGATCGCATGTCTAGGTTTGCTGTTTTTTTGTCATAGAGACGAACATATTCAAATACAACATTTTGCCGGTCATCATTAGTCATTATTGGTTGATAAATAAAGCAATGAAATTGTTCACACAAGTTTGTTTTGCAACTTCAACGGGGAAGATAAATGTTTACAATGTCCAAGCACAGACGATATCAGATGTGTTAGAGTTGATCAGTCACCAGTATACCATAAACAAAGCTATACAAGGGCATATTCGGGGTGACTGGGTGTCTTTAAAACAATTTTCTAGAGGTAAGAAGTAGGTGTCCAAATGGGCAAAATTTGGCAAATACATGCTTTTGAAGAAAATACCCAGGCCGTGGAGAGGGGAAACGGTTTCAGAACGACCACATGGCCTCTAAACAGGCTGTTGAGAAATAACAATTTAACTATCACGACACAACTTTTGGTTGTAGGCAATAACTAACTAAATAACTAAATAACTAAAACTTATTATTGGAAGTTGCCTTTTACTAACGTACATCTTAAGTGACTAGCATTGCATACCTCCGCCCTTCACATGGATGTAATTCCCATTGTATAAGACATGGCGCATCTTAGTCTTTATGGCCGAACATGACAATCATGGGAGCCTTTTAGACATATCTGCATGACAAACATAAGGTCTTTCTTATTTGTACATTGTATTATTTGACATTGGCATTATAACAGGAATTATAAGAACACACCACTTTTAACCCCACCACTATTAATCCCACCACTATTAATCCCACCACTAATCCCACCACTATTAACCACACCACTATTAATCCCACCACTATTAATCCAGCCACTAATCCCACCATTATTAATCCCACCACTATGAACCCCACCACTATTCGGTTTGTTGTACGCCAGCAACACCAATTTTGCACCAGCGTTGCTCTCTGCGATTCCCACGTATTTGCTGTTCGTTTCTTTGATCTGTAATACTACAATATCTTGTGCTGCACGATGTACAATGTAAACATCACTTCGTGTACATTGTAAATCCCAACAGTAGTTTTTACGGGGTCAGTCGCTTGATAAATCCTTTTGTCATGCTCATCATACATTATGTAACAGCGCTGGTTGTCGAGGGTCTTTGCTGTTTGACTAGACAATAAAGTACCTGTTCGCTACCTATCAGTTGTGTCGGGTGAACACGTGCTCAAATGGACCTTTCATCGTACATATCTTTGCATTATTCTGTGTGATAATGACTAGTGACAAATGCGACAAACAGACACAGATATATAGACCTACTCTGAAACTCTTTGTGCGTATGTTAATAAGTCCTCATATCCACCTCACCAACAGGCGTGGAAGCACGGCGTTATCTGCATTAGTCCTTGGTTATTAGTGTCTGTTTGCCCTAGACAACCCGAGAAACGGTGTTTAGGGTGCTCTCCAGAAAATAAACGGCCGCTGTCCGCCTAAGTGGCATACCTATATAGACCAGCGCGCGTCCGAGCCTCGGTAAAATCGACACTATTAACATAAGTAACTTCAGTCAAAGATATCGTTCTGTGAGCATTTGGCTTAAGTAAACGACAACTGTCTTCGTTAGTGAAGATTCTACAGACCCCTTACAGATAGAAAATTGTCTTATTCCTACTAACACTACACACGTCGTGTCTCTTTGCATCTTCTACAAAACAAAACTAAACTATAAGCGTTTTCATTTAGAGATGAAACACCCTTAGACATGGACTTCCAGCAGGCCACGTGTTAGATAGACCCTGCACCTACATGTACGCGTGAATATTTACAGATAAACCGATATTTTGTCTTTACCTTATATGCCCAACTAAAACATAATCAGATTGTGTTGTGTGATAATGTATTCAATATTTGTTTAGCATTGTCTGCTCTGAACAGTTTCTTTGCATGTTTGTTTTCAGATATCCGCATATTTTCGCCCGAGCACGTGAACAAGGGCCATCCGATCCAGCTTCATTGTAACGCGACGGGGGCGGACACACAGCTGGACGAGCTGGACTGGTTCATTAACGGTCACAGGGTCAGCACCAACTTCCAAAAGGGCGTGTACATTGACAAGACGGTATCCCTTGGCAGCAACACCATATCTAGCACGCTCCACATTGCCCAGGCTAGCATGGAGGACATGGGTACCTACACGTGCAGGACCTCGGCCGCGCAAATAAAGAGTACAAAAGTCACGGTTCTGAATGACCAGTGTAAGTTGTGTTCTTTATTTCTTACAGAACAGCAATGTGAACCAATATATTTAAATTGCTAGTCATATGATCATCACAACAATAAACAAACAAAGACAAAATATACACTCTAATATATCGGCTTGTCCCTGAATATCATCCCTGCATTGTATCTGTTATGACCTATAATACACATCTTATGTGCAACGTTACCCGTGGGTAACTTTACATTTTCTGTTGACTTTTGTTCCCAGTGTAATAACGACTTTGTAGCACTCCATGCCAGCAATGTATTGACAAAATATAAAGACCCTAGGTGTGTATGCCTTCAAAGAACAATTTGACGGACGACGGACGATAGCGGATCGCAAAAGCTGACTTGGCCCTTATGGTGTGATATTGTGATAGGGAGTGTTGGTACAAAGCTAGTGTTGGTGTGATATTGTGATAGGGAGTGTTGGTACAAAGCTAGTGTTTGTGTTATATTGTGATAGGGAGTGTTGGTATATAGCTAGTGTTTGTGTGATATTGTGATAGGGAGTGTTGGTGCAAAGCTAGTGTTTGTGTGATATTGTGATAGGGATTGTTGGTACAAAGCTAGTGTTTGTGTGATATTGTGATAGGGACTGTTGTTACAAAGCTAGTGTTTGTGTGATATTGTGTGATATTGTGATAGGGAGTGTTGGTACAAAGCTAGTGTTGGTGTGATATTGTGTGATATTGTGATAGGAAGTGTTGGTAGGAAGCTAGTGTTTGTGTGATATTGTGATAGGGAGTGTTGGTACATGTTATATTGTGATAGGGAGTGTTGGTATATAGCTAGTGTTTGTGTGATATTGTGATAGGGAGTGTTTGTACAAAGCTAGTGTTTGTGTGATATTGTGTGATATTGTGATAGGAAGTGTTGATACAAAGCAGGTGTTTGTGTGATATTGTGTGATATTGTGATAGGGAGTGTTGGTACAAAGCTAGTGTTGGTGTGATATTGTGTGATATTGTGATAGGAAGTGTTGATACAAAGCAGGTGTTTGTGTGATATTGTGTGATATTGTGATAGGGAGTGTTGGTACAAAGCTAGTGTTGGTGTGATATTGTGTGATATTGTGATAGGAAGTGTTGATACAAAGCAGGTGTTTGTGTGATATTGTGTGATATTGTGATAGGGAGGGTTGGTACAAAGCTAGTGTTTGTGTGATATTGTGACAGGGAGTGTTAGTGCAAAGCTAGTGTTTGTGTGATATTGTGTGATATTGTGGTAGGAAGTGTTGGTACAAAGCTAGTGTTTGTGTAATATTGTGATAGGGAGTGTTTGTACGAAGCTAGTGTTTGTGTGATATTGTGATAGGGAGGGTTGGTACAAAGCTAGTGTTTGTGTGATATTGTGATAGGGATTGTTGGTACAAAGCTAGTGTTTTTGTGATATTGTGATAGGCAGCGTTGGTACAAAGCTAGTGTTTGTGGGATATTGTGATAGGGAGTGTTGGTACAAAGCTATTGTTTGTGTGATATTGTGATAGGGAGTGTTGGTGCTAAGCTAGTGTTTGTGTGATATTGTGTGATATTGTGGTAGGAAGTGTTGGTACAAAGCTAGTGTTTGTGTAATATTGTGATAGGGAGTGTTTGTACGAAGCTAGTGTTTGTGTGATATTGTGATAGGGAGGGTTAGTGCAAAGCTAGTGTTTGTGGGATATTGTGTGATATTGTGATAGGGAGTGATGGTACAAAGCTAGTGTTTTTGTGATATTGTGATAGGAAGTGTTGGTACAAAGCTAGTTTTTGTGTAATATTGTGATAGGGAGTGTTTGTACGAAGCTAGTGTTTGTGTGATATTGTGATAGGGAGGGTTAGTGCAAAGCTAGTGTTTGTGGGATATTGTGTGATATTGTGATAGGGAGTGATGGTACAAAGCTAGAGTTTTTGTGATATTGTGATAGGAAGCGTTGGTACAAAGATAGTGTTTGTGGGATATTGTGATAGGGATTGTTGGTACAAAGCTAGTGTTTGTGTGATATTGTGATAGGGATTGTTGGTACAAAGCTAGTGTTTGTGTGATATTGTGATAGGAAGGGTTGGTACAAAGCTAGTGTTTTTGTGATATTGTGATAGGCAGCGTTGGTACAAAGCTAGTGTTTGTGGGATATTGTGATAGGGATTGTTGGTGCAAAGCTAGTGTTTGTGTGATATTGTGATAGGGAGTGTTTGTACAAAGCTAGTGTTTGTGTGATATTGTGTGATATTGTGATAGGGAGTGATGGTACAAAGCTAGTGTTTTTGTGATATTGTGATAGGAAGCGTTGGTACAAAGCTAGTGTTTGTGGGATATTGTGATAGGGATTGTTGGTGCAAAGCTAGTGTTTGTGTGATATTGTGTGATATTGTGATAGGGAGTGTTGGTACAAAGCTAGTGTTTGTGTGATATTGTGATAGGGAGTGTTGGTACAAAGCTAATGTTTGTGTGATATTGTGTGATATTGTGATAGGGAGTGTTGGTACAAAGCTACTGTTTGACGTCCGTACAGTTTTAGCCAGTACATATCCTACCATAAAATCTCCATTCTCTTCCTTTGTTAGTTACATTGCGAAAACAAAATCGTTTTGTGTTTGAATATCAGTATGTCGTTATTACTCCAAGTATTTGTATTTCACACAAAATCATCAATTGATATCAAAATAATGGTCATTGTGATGAATCGTCTTACATTAATTTTGACGGCAATCGTCGGAGAGAAAAGGCACAAGAAAGGGTATTTAAAAGGTATGTCAACCAGACGTTTTGGACGACAAACAGTATCTTTGAACTATCAACAGAAACAAGCAGAAAATAATCCAAAGGCCAATGTGACATCATCCGGACTATCATGAATTTAAGGAATTGTTTTATGATATATTTCGGATGACATATTTTTCCTTACAAGTAATGTATACGCATTGAGTAGGACACGAGAATATTAGACCCCTTGTTATTGAAATAAAAACGATTTCGTCAAATAAGCCAACTACAGTTCAACCTTGGTACGAATTCGAAAATCTTGCTGCCTTAACCACACTTCTACAAATAGAAGTTCGGCATATTCTTGACACTCCAAAACAAACTCTACGCTATTGGAGCTATCCACAAAGGTTGTCAGCATTGGCCCATTTCAAGTCATAACTAAATTATCATCATTCTACGTACACTTCAATACCATAACGTCGCCACGGATGACGTCAGCATATATATAAACACAACGACTGGTTTGATTAGAATTTCTTCTCGTAGACGAAATGAAGAAAGACTTATTTAATGGAATTCACAACGTTGACAAACTGAAGCTTGATACTGACCAGGTTCCATATTATTGAACCATCATCATGCTCAAGCCTGGATCCTGTGCTCAAACCCAGTTGTCTTATAATTGGCTTAAATCACGCCAAACCATCAAAAATTCAAATGTAAACACTGAAGACAGCATTCGTCTCAAAGTCTCTCAAAAATCTTACGGATCATTGACAAAATTCGATTTTTTTTATTAATGTATGGTTATGTAGTTTGAACACGAGACCGGTTTCATGACTACGGGCCAAGATCATTTGAAGAATTATAATAATCACATTGATATCACTTGCATGATTTTGCCCTATAACACTCAAACCAGAAATTACAGGAAAAACCCCTCAGTGTAACGCTGTTTAAATCAACCAGCTTACTACATGGTACACACTAGTATCTCTGAATTAAGGTTAGGCATGGTAAATTTATACTACCCCTATAGTTATAAACCGTTAGTATGTGATGAATTATCTCCCTTGGTAGTATGCTATGTTGTATTCACGCTGCAAACCAAGTGAAATAGATCCTTTTACACATAATAATGTGATGATGAACGCTTTTAAACGGGAGACGTCTATTACAATAAAACACACAGGGGAGTGGCACAGATCCCCAACCCAATAGATATAGATATGCTATAATGTATCATAATACACACCTAGGGATCGTGGGGATGGGGATTTGTGCCATGTCCCTGTGGAATAAATACTAAAGATATGTTACACGCTATAAACTAAACCTAGATTGTACAGATGCTCGTTTTTGTACTATCTCCTAATTTATTTCTCTTTTTCCCCCCAGCTGATATACCCAAGGACAAGCGAGGTGAGTACTTGCTTTGTAATGTAGGGGAGAATATCTTTAGTTTTACAAGACAATGGAATACCATTATTAACATATAAGATATAAGTATAAATGTTCAAACAAGGGAGACGGACTTATTCAGCTGCTCAGACATGGGAGAAATATCGTAGTAAGTCGTGACTCTCAGGCAAGGGAGATAATATTGTACTTCGGAAATTTCGGTCGAGGGAGATAATTTTGTTTGGTTTTCTGAATCAAAGGATATACTATTACTATTCTCCGACAGGGGAGATTATAACTATAATATTGTAATTCAGGACGCTCGGAGGACTGGGATGTTATAGAAGTTCGGTTATCAGAAATAGGGGAGATAATACAAGAATGTATTTTACTTCATGGTCATTACTTTACAATAGGAGCGATAATATTGTAGTTCGGCAATTTTGGACAAGAGGGACAATATTGTCAAACTTTCTGAATCAAAGGAGATCATATTACATGGATTTATCAACTATCTAATGTACTTTGTATTACCTATCGGTAGGAGAATGAATTCATTATCATGGGTTGTCAGTATGAGAATAATCAAGCAGAGGTTGAGAACGACTTAAGAGCAATTGGAGAACAACTTGAAAATGGATTTTCCCATTTGGATAAAATCGAGAGCCACCTGTGTGGTAATCTGTAATGTTTGGTAACTCTTAGACAGGAGCGATTATATTGTAGTTCGGTAACCTCAAGTAAGAGGACTCAGATAATATCGTAGTTCTGCACTCTTAAACAGAAGAGATAATATTTATCTTCAGTTATTTGAAACAAGGAAGATAACAACAGGGGAGATAATGATGTAGTGTCGGCAATCTCACACAATGAATACTTTATTGTACATGTAGTTCAGTGTGTTCAGTACTTCCAGACAGGTGAGATAAACTTATAGGTAATTCCTCAGTCGGACTGGTAATCGAAGATAACCAGATACCCCTAGACAGGGAAAACAGCAATGTAATTGTATAGTTCAAAACAGAAACCAGTTATAAGTCATCATGTACAAATGAAAGCTTTCAAGAAAATGTCTTGATCCATCAATGTGCAAATATCTTTCTAAGACCGATAAAATTAATTAAGATTAATTTCTTTCTTATTACAGAGAACCCCACGGAATCCATAATTTTGCCAGCAGCAAATCCGGAGCCGTCGAATAGTCACAACGGCGGCACTGTCATATCAATACAAAGACGCTTAGTAATGTTAACAATAGTTCTGTGGATTTGGACGTAAACAAAATACCTTATTTATGTTTGACAAACAAAGTCACAAAGTAATATTATTCATTGGACTAATGACGTCACGTGTCCAGTATTTAAATATTGTGTCTCGAACTCATCGGGGAATATAAATGGGGCACTGGTATATATATCGGGAATGGCGGGAAAGCGAGTGCCTGTCCTTCGCAGACTTTCAAGAATGTTACGTAACACGTCCGTCTACCTTAGTAGTGCAGGTTACCTGGCATAATAGTGCATGATCTGGACAAGAAATCGGACAGGCACTTAATTCATGCACAATGCTAAGGAGAGGATTTGGGACGAGGTGAGGTCGTGAACAGTCGAGAAAGAAGACTGATAATCATGTCAGGTTTCTGCCCAGTCTCCCAAACCATCGTGTCACTTTCTCTGATACGTCAGTTACGCCGAAACTGTTCGGGACCGATACTTCTGTTGGCATTATTAAAGTAAAATAATGCATCATGAAAAGAAATTAAAGATTGTTTGTGTTCTAGGGAAGATAACTCTCACTTGAGCAATATTGGTTGAGTCCATGGAACTGATTTTGTACGGTATCAGAAAACAAGCTACGCGACCGTTTGGTTTTGGCCAAAACATTTATACTAATTACAGTATGGAAGACTAAATTAAGGATGTATGTGTCAATCTGGCACAAGAGATATCTTGGTGTAGTACACATGTAATTTGAATCCGAGAGACTGACGTTTATCCTGCATATAACATCTTGTGGAAATCGCTAAATAAAAGACGGCGTTGTATTGCACTGTCTAAGAATCCCCTTTAATTGCTGACAAATCAATCGTTCTGGTGTACACGATGGTTAACTATCTGTTGTTGATATTTCATAATATCGGTATGGTAATGGGGTTATAATAATTGTTTCTGTGTATTTATTTCGTAAAATGTTGACTGTTTGTAATTTAATTCAATACTTGCGTTATGTTTTATTTAAAATTATGTGATTTAATGCACAAGTTAAGGATCTCCGTACCACTGCCAAAAACAGAAGCTATGCTTTGGAAAATGTATCGTCAGCCTGACTATAGGTCTGAAGCTATGCTTTGGAAACTTTATCGCAGCCTGACTATAGGTCTGTAGCTATGCTTTGGAAACTTTATCGTCAGCCTGACTATAGGTCTGAAGCTATGCTTTGGAAACTTTATCGTCAGCCTGACTATCAGTCTGAAGCTATGCTTTGGAAACTTTATCGTCAGCCTGACTATAGGTTTGATCAATACTTTCCGAATAGAGAATCATAACTTTTATAAGAAGGAAAAGAAATGAACAAAGGTGTTCTCTTAAGCGAAAATACAACATGGCAAGGCTATAATTCGAATTCTTGATCTGATATCATTACACTGTCGCTTTATCCATCCAAGCTACCAGTCCAACGAAATGTATATTCTGGTCAGGTAGCGCTAGAGTAAATCAAAAACTGAATTAAGGGACGTTACTGTATGTACTAAAGCTACAGCAGAACTCCCTGCTGTTCTACCTGCAGTGGGACAGAGATCTTATTACAGCTTGTCATATTATAAAAGACTGCTTTGATGTAAAAACGATTATTATGGAAATACTTTAATCATTGAGGGACTACTGTGATCCGGACGGTTTCACAGCCAATACATAGTACTGTCTGTACATAGATATAGTTTAAAATGTAAATATGATACAAATATATATATATATATGAGCTTTCACGGTACGGGTTAGCGTTGAAGTCAGTGTTCGTAATGATACACTTTACAGGTATCAATCCGACAAACCACATTTATCTTAATATGGGTAATACCTTTCACACTAACTAATATGTGACGTCATAACTAACATCAGTTCTCTCCCTTCCTGGATTACAGCAGATAGTTTTTTTAAACTGTGAAAATAATGTCATAGATGACGTAAAAGTACTACATAATTTCAGTGTAGCCTAATTTCTTCTCTTCATCCGTCCTTCATATTCCCGTAATTCCCCTTCTGTATGACCAAGTTGTGTGTAGCTTGAAAGTAAACAACTTACCTGTCGATCATATAATTTTATCGAACATCAATCAGCGTTGTACATGCCATAGTCACTGTCCCTCTTTACAAATTCCATCAGTTCATGAAGGGAGATTACCATCATATCACGGAGGAACCATGCAATCATAATCTACTTTCTTCAAGGTTTTGGCATTATGTATCATGTTAGTGTGAATACCAATCATTTTGTACATTCCATAAAGCGGTAGTCTACCTGTGAAACAATTGTTTATTTTAATATCATTATCATATATTTGTCTTATGTTCTTTCTGGGGGTTGGGGGTTATGGG